CAACGTTCAGTGGATTCCTACTAAAGTAGACAGCTGGGACATTTTTTCCCCTTCGATATATTGAATTTCATAATCAAACATTGATAGGAATGTTGTCCATCTCTGCAACCTATTAAAAGCCATTTGAGGAATTTCTTTATGTTCACCGAATATTGATACCAAAGCTTTATGATCAGTTTTAAGAGTGAAGTGATTCCCACACAAGTATTGAAAGAATTCGTTCACACCAAAGTATATGCCTAGTGCTTCTTTTTGACAAGTTGGGTATGCTAATTCTGCAGGCATTAGTTTCCTAGATACACATCCTATAAGTTTTTAATGACCATCAATGATATGCGATAATGTCGCACTGATTCCTACATTTGATGCATCAGTATTCAAAACTATAGGTAATTCCGGGTCAAAATGTACTAAAACTTCTTCGGAAGCCATTACCTCCTTAATTTTGTTAAAAGCTATTTCACATTTCTCTGACCACTGAAATGTTCTTTCTTTCTGCAATAATTCATAGATAGGACTCAAAATATCTGCTAATTTTGGTACATAAGATGAATAATACTGAATTAAGCCCGTGAACTTTATTACTTCTTGGACATTTGTTGGCCTAGGAGCTTCAACAATTGATCTAACTTTGTCCCTCATTTTTCGTAACCCCTCCTTACTAATTCTATGACCTAAATATTGAATTTCCTCCTTCAAAAACTCACATTTCTCTTTTCTCACTGTGAATCCCGCCTGCTTCAATATTCTGAAAGCTGTTTCCAAATTTTTCAGATGTTCTTGTGATGATTTGCCAGTCACCACAATATCATCCAAAAAATTCACTATACCATCCAGTCCTTGAAAAAGTTGTTCGATTACTTTTTGGAATATGCTACTGGCAGGCGTGATCCCAAAAGCTAATCTGTTTACCTTATACAGACCTTCGTGTGTATTCAAAGTTAAAAGTTTTGCTGTTTTTTCATCTACTGGGAGTTGATTGTATGCCATTTGCAAATCAATTTCAGAAAAATGTTGCCCTTTATTTAATTTTGCGAAAACTTCAGAAATTCTAGGTAAAGGATAATTTACTTGTTCTAAATGCTTGTTCAGCGTTACTTTATAATCTCCACATAATCTCACTTGACCATTTGCTTTCAGTACTGGAACCAGAGGTGTAGCTCATTCACTGCGCTCAACAGGGATTAAAATACCTTCCTGTTGCAGCTTGTCTAATTCATTCTCTATTGTTTGTTTATATGCAAAGGAAACTGTTCTTGCTTCCCGAAACACAGGTTCAGCATCACTTTTCAATTTTAAGGGAATTTTATTGTATTTATATTCACCAATTTTGTCAGAAAATAGGGAAGGATGTTTATTTATGATTGAATTCATCTCAATATTGGTTGAGATATTGTTGATCAAATTTACCTTAACCTCGAATATGTCCAGCTAGTCTCTACCAAGTAAGTTCAAACCTCCATTGTTGACGACATAGATTTTCATCTCTTTATTTCTACCATTATATATCACATTTGCCTTCAAATAACCTTTTGGAAGGAAGGTTTCTCCATTGTAGCCTCTTAAAACTGTACTGTTTGTGTGCAATCTACAATCAGAAAAGTTATTCAAATATGTCTCTTCACTGATAGCTGAAATAGAAGCCCCACTGTCAAAAGTAAAGTTCATTGATTTATTATTTACAGAAATTTCAACATTGAATGGATCATTATCATTGTCATTGCAAAATTCAGCGAAATTCTAACATTCTTCTTCAGTGTACCAGATACATTCTTCATTTTCAACCTCCTCTGAAAACTGTACAATTCGATTTTGGCACATTTTCGTTAAATGACCAACACGATTACATTTATCGCATTTGAAATTTTTGAATTTGCACTCAATTCTGTGAAGATTACCACAGTGTTTACATTTACTAGAAAAACGATTACCTTTTTCATCATATTTTGAATGGTTATTACTAGTTTCAAATCTTTTCCCATTTTTGACGCTACCACTGGTCAACCGGTTTGGCCTTGACGTTCTTGATGGGTAGTGACGTTGCTGCTGCTGATGACTTTGGCGGTTGACGTTGTAGTTGTCAACGCCATCTTGCTTCATCCGGTCTCTAGGCAAGAATTTTGAATTTGATACGTAGTTAACCTTGACTTGATTTTCTACTTATTGAGCTATAGTCAGCAATTCTTCCAGAGTTTTGGTTTCTTCTTCTTCGCACATCCTGTCCAGAACTTTTCCATGGCACATCCCCGTTACGAACTTGTCTTTTAATATCTTCGTCAAATCTGCACCAAATTTGCAATTCATAGTGGGCACGAATCTTTGCATACCAGTCACTGATCGATTCGTCTCTTTGACAAACTTCGTAAAATTTCTTGCGTTCGCGCCACACACTGATATGAACGTTATATTGCTTGTTCAATCTGTCACATAATTGTTCGAATGTCTCATCTTTGGGTAGGTTTGGATGGCACAGGTCTCTCAAAAGCTTGTACGTCGTTGGACCGATGGAACTGATTAGAACAGCGGTTTTGATTTTTAAATCAGTTATTTTCTTGTCCTCGAAATGCTGGCCTAAGCGTTCACTGTAGATTTGCCAATCATCGGACTCTGAAGAGAACTCTAAAAATTTCGGTGCCGCCGCCATTACAGCTAGCACGAGGTTGCTGGGTGCCGGTCACTTTTTCTCTTACTTTCCGCGTCTTTCCGATTTTCCTCGTCGCCAAATTGTTCTATCCAAATGTGAATAAAGTGAACAATGATGGATTTGGATAATCTAACTTAGCTCATATTATAATGTATGCGAAACTATACGAAATAAAGGTGAGTACAGTGGGGTGAAATACTGAAAGATAGTTCATAATACAGTCATGTGGGTTGGGATTTGGTTGAGTAGCTTGGGCATACGAAGGTATGTGTCTATTTAGTCAACTTCGTCTTTATCTCAAGTCTCAGTCTCAGTCCTAGTCTCAGTCTTTATCTCAAGGAATTAAGACGTGGCTATTTATTCAACATGTTTATTAGGACCATATTAGGACATAGGACTTAGACAAATGACACTGATGACAGTTTCAGAAAGATAACCGAACTTTTCTGGTAAATTCTAGATAATTATTTTGAAAAGTTAAAAATGGATTACATTAATAATCAAACATTAATCACGACCAGTTTATATTTTTTGATGAATGCAAGTGTTATTTGCACTCTTTTACAATCCAAAAAGCGTCAGAGACGGTTTAAAGTGCGTCCTATCAATAGAAGGCGCAAGAGGGAAGGGTTCTTTGCTACACTTATAAAAGGTATGCAAACCCTGGAATTGGATGAAATGCAGTTCATCAAATACACTAGAATGGGCAGGAATCAATTCCAATATCTTCTTGTTTGTGTTGGTCCTCTCATACAGAAAGACAGAAAAAAAGAACATTTGTCACCAGAACAGCGTCTACTGATAACTCTCCAGTAAGTTCTTTAACATAATATGCTCCTTGCACTACTTACATTTCTATTATATATCTTTCAGTTATCTTGCAGAGGGCTGCTCAATGCAAGAAATTGCTTGGGGTTATCGAATTGGACATGCTACTGCCCATCAAATAATCAAGGAAACGTGTCAAGCCATATGGGATGTGCTGAGCCCTTCTCAACTTCCCATGCCCACCAGACAGAACTGGAAATCCATTAGTGATGGTTTTTTCAGAAGATGGAACTTGCCCAACTGTGTTGGTGCGTTGGATGGGAAACACATCAAAATCAGATGTCCACCTCACTCGGGCAGTGAATTCTTCAACTATAAAAAAGATTACAGTATAGTTCTGATGGGTTCCTGTGATGCATTTTATCGATTCTCAATGGTGGACATTGGTGCTGCAGGTTCCAATCATGATTCTGCAGTTTTCAGATCAAGTGGCCTAGGGAATGCTCTGATGAGTGAAGAATTAGATTTACCTCCTCCTGCAAAATTACCAGGATCTGATATAATAATGAACCACTTTTCAGTGGCAGATGCTGCATTTCCCCTGCATAAAAACATCATTCGACCTTATGCTGGGAATCATCTGGGTGAAAAAAAAAAAACATCTTTAATTATAGGATTAGCAGGGCCAGAAGGACCATAGAGACTACCTTCGGAATACTTTGCCAGCGTTGGCGCATATTGATCCAGCCTATCAATGCTAGCTTGGAGGTGGTTGAGAGGATTACACAAGCTATTGTTGTGCTTCATAATTACCTCCAAACTAGTGAGATGGATATACCCCTTCGTGAGAGGAATTATTGTCCCACTGGAAATGTGGATTACATCAATGGCAATGGTGAGCTGATACCTGGTGAATGGAGCAACGCAAATAATCTCCCATCAGTACGTAGAATGGGGTCAAATAATACTACTAATGTTGCCAAGACTCGAAGGGATACTTTATCTGATTATTTCATTTCAAATGTAGGAGAAGTTGAATGGCAGTCAAACTATGTAAATAGAGGAGGAATCTCACCAGTTTGAGATCTTGAACCAAAATATCTTGATTTTTCTAATTTTTATAATAATTTTTATCAGAACTTAATTTTGTTATGTCATGCTTACCCAATAAAATCATGCCATAAATATTATAATTCATTTATTGCAACTTTCAGGTACACACTTCTTAGGTCTAAATACCTTATCTCAGTCTCTGTGGTATCACATAGAAATAGTACCTATTTTAAATAGGAAAAAACTAAATAAAAGCTTGTAATAAAAAAGAAAAACTGAACAGTGATCACAAAAACCTATTCCTAAAATGTTGATAGTATAAAAAAATAAACTCTAAATAAATAAAAGTTTACATCAAATGTGTACATTTTTCTTTAAAAATAAAATTTGCTCTAAAACAAAACAATGTGTAGGTAGGTATATAGAAATATGGACTCAATCCGTATTCTCAGCTATGAGCAACATTATCTGAGCTTTTAGGGACATTTTTTTTTCTGTCTGTCATTCTGCTTAATGTGTCTGCTATAGACAGACCTTAATGATGGTCCTCTTTATTAATCTCTGAATTCAGCAGAGAATTCAGACTCTGACCCACTGAGCTACATGTAGCTACTAAGGACTCAAGTGGAACATCAACTTTCTTTCTTTTATTCAAGCGTTCCTTTCTGAGGTTTCCAATATCACTGCTGCTTTGGAGGACTGTTTTTTTGGGAGGAGTAGGTAAAATGGCAGGAGCTACTTCTTCTAATTTCTCCTCCAATAATTGCCCAGACGTTTCCGACTCTTCCTGGTCTTGGCTGAGCATTTCCGACATGGTATCCCATACTTCGGATGGCTCATTCTCATAATTTTTTCGGCTGATATTGCCCTTAGTTCTGTAAAAAATATGTATTAATAAGTTTTCAGAATTAAATTATCAACAAACCTTCTGGAGATGATGGTCCTGTCTAAAAACCCCATTTTCCCAAAGAGGGGCCAGGTACATGAATATGCCCCTGAACCTGATGGTACGCACTTCACATTTCTTCTTTCCCGGACATATTTCAGCCGTAAAGATTTCCATGTCTCCATGCATTCTTCAACTGAAAGGAAGGAATAGAATCCAATACCATCAAAATTTTTGTACTTACCAGAAAAATTCATAATTTTTGCAATTGTTTCCCAAGCATTTTCAACCGCTACTTTGTCACTGTGACGGGCATTTTTTTTGTCCCATATATGTGGGAATCTCTCTACCATTTCGATCAAATTACTTTCATCTGAAGACATTTTCTTTTATTTTATTACTCTTATATCTTTTATTATTATTATTTTTGTTGTTATCACAACATAACCTATATGAATTATGAACACACAACACAGATCACAGAATATGAGAATAGAGAAAATATTCGATTGTCAATAATGCCATGCACAAACTGAGCATGCGCACTGACGTATTGGTCTTCGTCCTAAGAATGAAAGTTGAAAATTGGAACTCTCAAGGTCACGTTTTTAGGACTGAGACTTGAGACTACGACAAATATTGTTGTATAAATGCTCTTATGCGAATGTGTAGAATCAACTTTGTTTAAAGACTAAAATTAGAACAAAGACTGAGACGAAGACAAAGTTGACTAAATAGACACATAGGCTTTAAAACTGTTGGGTTGGATTCTGTTCAAAAAGGGCAATTCGTCTCGTGGGTGATGTCTCATTGACAATCTCACTCACTTCTCTGGAATAACGTAGAAAAGTTGTCGATCTGGCTCTATTTTATAGATATTTTCATAGACGATGCTCTTCTGAAATATCAACAATTGTGCCTCCCTTGGCAGTCCCCGCGAGATTGACCCGTCGAGTTGAGGCTTCACACCCCTTCGTGGTCACTTTGGAGACCTGCAAAGCATCTCCTTCCAAAGACTTGTTCATCCAACGAACAGCGAGGCTCTGGAACATATTGTCAAGGGGGGTGTTCCTCGAGGCATATAACCTTCACAAATTCAACAAGAACACCAATTCCTTCCTTTTTTCCCTTGGTTCTCACGATGTTCTCTGAACATTACAGGATATTCCTGTTCGTGGGAACCAGAAAATAAGAAAAAAAGGAATGATTTCTCCAAATTTCCTTATGATTTTATGCATAGTGTTTGTCTAGGAGTAGTTGAAAAATTGTTTTTTATGTGGAGGGATGGTAGTAGGCTCAATCGATTCAAAATTGATAAATATAATATTTAAGACGAGAGAATAAAATACCTACGAAATTTCTGGCCAGCTGAATTCAATCGTAAGCCTAGATCACTGAAAGATTTGAAGCATTGGAAAGCCACTGAACATAGGCAGTTTTTTCTCCTAATTGATATTTTACCCAAAAATAATGTCTGCAATTTTATGTTGTTAAAATTTGGAATAACCATCTTGGTGAATTCAAATCTTAATTCAGAATATAATGACTATGCCAGAATTCTATTGACAACATTAGTAGAAAATGCAATACAAATATATGGAAAAAATGTCTGTGTATACAATGATCATTCACTCATACATCTTGCTGATGATGCTGAAAGGTTTAGGTCCTTAGGTGGAGTGAATTGTTTCAATTTTGAAAATTACCTAGGCTTTTTAAAACGTTCCTTGAGAAAAGCAAAATCCATCATCACAACAAGCTGTGAACACATTTTCGAACGTAGAGAAATGAATACCAAAACTACCATCAACGATAAACATATCCAACTTTTAGAAAATCCCTTGAATACATCTACAAATGAAATATCATATTTCAGGAAGATTATCTTCAAAAGTTGTGTATTTTCTGTCGAAACTGGTGATAATTGTGCATGTTTGAAAAATGGTGAAATATTATTCATTACCTCGATATCTAAATCTTCAAATAAACTTTATATAAAGGGTTCACACTTGAGAGAAATTAAACCTCTCCTAAATTATCCTACAGAAAAATACATTATCTTTCTTTTTGAGGTATCTTCAGATTTTGATGAAGCCAATGAAGAAATTATTGAACATGTTTACAGAGTGGACGATATTCAATTCAAGGGGATAATCTTGAAACATGGAGTTAATTATATTGTTTCTCCTTCATATCAATGTGTTAGAATTAATCAAGACAGGTCCATTTTCAGCGCTAAGCATATATATTCGCTTTTTTTTTTCATTCTTCATCAATCAATTGTGCCAAAGCTGGACCAACAATTATTATTATATCACATTGATAATTTCAGTTCTTTTGTTTTTGATACAATACATATTTATGAACCTCAAATATACAATTTTGACTTATTTTATGTATATTTAGAGTGTTTTGAGCACTTGAATTTGAATATCCTCATTTTATCAATATACTCCCTATTATAATGCATGTTTGTGGTGTTGGAAACAATATCAGACAAGATTATGAGTGAATTCTTTGTTTTCTGTCGATTAATAATGTAAACAGTTCCTTTCACTAATTTTATGTATCATTTTGTGTATATTTATAAATTTCCTTTACAAAATTCAGGGACTTCTGAATCTATGTATTATCCTATAGCTGATCATGTGGAAAAATTTCACTGATCATCTATGGAGAAATATATTGAATTTCTTTGTTTGAAAATTACCTAAAGAATTCATATGGATTTTTTCTCTTCGGAGTAAATATTTACTGGGCCAGCATATTTCAAATCAGATTCTAATAAAGGACAAGGCAATCCAGAGTCACCTGGATCTCATTGAAGATGAATGTGTAGTCTGTCCCATTAGGGTGCAATATTCTACTGGTTAGTATCAATGCATCCCTAGAATCATATATTCAACATCGATGACAACATTTGTATTTTCTACTATTTCAGATGATTCCTACAGAACACGTAAAAAACTTCAGCACCTGGAAGTAAAATCTCAGACTAAATCAGAAAATGAACAGAAATGGGTCCCCAAAAAACCAATTTACAAGGATTATGTTCAGTTCAGTAGTGAAGATAGCAATGATAACATACCAATCATACTTCTGCCTAAGAAACAAATTTTCACACCTCTCACAAATGTTGATATTGGTACTTCAGTGAGCAAAACGAGAAATCACAGTTCTGAAACCAACTACAAAATCTAAATTAGATGATGATATCGTATCCCTAGGTGAAGCAGCTACGATCAGCCAGGCTAGTGATGGATCAAGTAGCCTCAGATCATACATCAGCTGTCAAGAAAACAAAGGTGAACTTTTTCACAATTTCTGAAATATATTTCATTATTGTCATTATTATGGTCCAAGAGATTGAAAGTATATATCATTCTGCTGACATGGTTAGATCTTATTGAATTATTTGGTGGTATTTTCAGCATTGATCACAGAAATATTGACGCAGTTACACATTAACAAAGAAGATTTATCCTACCTCATCAGGCTGAGAAAAGGAAAAAGTGAGAGTAATGTTCCAATCTCAATAGAGTTTACTCAAATTGAAGAATTTGATGAGTTGATTCTGTTAAACGATAGCTTGAATGAGAACTCGAAATTTGCTGAAGCAGTGAGTATCTTGAATTGTATTTTATTTTTTCTGTGTTTGAATACTTTCAACCAATTTATTTATTTATTTGACTTCACCAATTTGTTGGTGGCAAAGATGTGCCAGATACAACCAGGTGAATTTTAAATCGGTTCATGAGTAATGATTTAGCTATAAAGACGAACTGGACTGGAAGGAACAACAAAAATGGATTCATTGATATGAAAAATATCATCGAATTAATCCACGGTTTGTAATTTATCAATTCATCTATATTATTTTTATTATTTACTCTTCACCTCATCATTGTAGAGGGTATTTTTTTTTATCGCTTGGAGCGCACGAAAGGGAATCCCTATAATGTTTAAAGAACATCGTGCGTTCCTAGGGAGGATAGGGACAGGAGGTAGGTATTGGATTTTTTTTTATTATTATATGTTGTTGGGAATACTTCCACAGGCAATGAATTCCAGAGCCTAGCCGTTCTATGGATGAAGGAGTCTTGATAAAGTGCGACATCTTTCGAGGTTGACAACGAAAGGATGTGCTAACTGGGCTTGTCTAGTTCGTCTGATTGGTATTGCTAGTGAAGGGATAATAGCAGAGATTTCCGAAGAACATTTCCCGTGGAAGTATCGATAGAAAAGTGAAAGGTCGCCGACCTTCCTACGGTGTTCCAATGATGTCAAAGAGTGAGTGAGTGTGGCGTCACCCACCAGGCGAATGGCTCTTCTCTGGATGGAATCTAAGAGCATCAGCGTATGTTTTGGTGCTGAACCCCATATGTGGGAACAGTATTCTAGAACAGGCCGTATCTGCGCTTTGTAGATCATGAGAAGCTGTTGAGGTGTAAAGTAGCTTTTCGCACGAAACAAGAATCCGAGTTTTTGTGAAGCAGCTTTTGCGATGGATCTGACATGATTATCCCATGAAAGAGTGTTGCTGATGGGAATACCGAACATAGATATGGTGGGCTTGGTGGGGATGGTGGAGCCAGACATTACAATATCGGGCATACTGAGTTCCGCCTTTCTAGAGAAAATGCAGGCTTGAGTTTTGGTGGCGTTGAATTCAACTAGGTTGTTTGTTCCCCAGGCTGTGATTTCAGCAAAATCTTCAGTGACAGCATTGACCTGCCTGCGCCGTGAGTTCCTAGTTTCCTGGGAAGAAATGGGAATTCTGGAAGAGAACGCACTATGGAGGGTACTATCATCTGCGAAGCTGTGGATGGGGCAAGTTGTTACTCCCAACAGATCATTGATATGAAGCAGGAATAATGTTGGTGCCAAAATTGATCCTTGTGGAACGCCGGAATTGATGCCAATGGTATCAGACGATACACCGTCCACCACCACGTGAAGCGATCTGCCTGAAAGAAAACTCGATAAGAGATGGCATAGCTGAGGTGGTAAGCCGTATGATGGTAGTTTGTGGAGGAGTCCTACGTGCCAAACACGGTCGAATGCTTTCGATATGTCCAACGCGACAGCTAGAGATTCCCCGTGTTTTTCTATTGGAGATTGCCATAAATGGGTGACGTAGGCAAGTAGATCTCCAGTAGATCTTTGGTGGCGAAAGCCGTATTGTCTATCATTGATGATTCCTGAGTTCTCCAGATATTTGATAAGCTCAATATTAATGGCTTTCTCCATCACTTTGGAGATCACTAATAACAGGGCAATGGGCCTGTAGTTGTTGGGCAGGTTCTTGTTCCCTTTTTTGGAGTTTGGTTGGACTCTAGCTGTTTTCCAGCATGATGGAAAAATACCCGACCTGTACGAGATG